GCTCACTGGCTGAGCGAGGCGCGGGAGCAACACTGAGGCTTGCGATCCCGTTACCGGTCCCCGGTCCGGTACGGGGGCAACACTGAGGGTTGCAATCCGTTGCCGGACACGGAAAAAGACAAAAAAAAAAAAAAAAGAACAGGGAAAAGAAATTTAAAGAATAAGTAAAGAAGAGGAGGTAAAAACGGAAAGGGGAGGAGGCCAAAGAAATACAGGAAATTCATCCTAGGAAGGAAAGAAAAGCAAGCTAGAGAAATGAGTGTGGAAAATAGGGAAAAAAAATAAGTAAGAAAGAAGTGAAGAAAAGTGGACTGAAGATTGCAGAGATAAGCAAAAGTGGAACATGAGACTTAGAAAGCAAGTCTGCAAACGCAGAGCAATCGAAGAATTTTGAGATGGTCATGCACAAGGTAAAGGTTCTTTGAGGTCACAATTTCATTTTTCCATAGCTCTGTTATCTATGGCCAGATATCTTGCCTTCCTCAATCCTGAGCTTTTGTGGGCAGTGTTGGTTGCCACCACCTTAAAAGCAGTCTACCTTGGCCATTAACTACCTCTTGGAGGTTCTGGGATCTCATTAACTACCAGATGCCTAACTAGTCTCCCTAAAGGAAGCTAGTTCTTAGAAGGTTATTGCTGGTTTATGCAACTGGTAGATTTCTCTTCTGGAAACAGAATTTGCCTCTGCCATTGCTTATAAGTATCTAATAACCAAATTTGTACAAAGTTATAAAAATTTGACTAAAGAGTACATATAACAAGATGTACAGCAAGAAAATGGTAAATCAAAAATGCGATAAAAAATGCTTTTCTTCAAATTCTGACAGTGCTGTGAGGAAGGATTTACAATGAAGAAAAGGAATAAAGTGGAAAAGTTAACTTGGAGATAAGAAAAGGAAAGTTGGAACCCACCCAAATTTTTAGCTTAGATCAGTAACACTAAATTCAGATGATGTCATAGTTTTTCTCTCACTTTTCATCAGAGGATTATTTCCATATGATTATGGACAGAATAGCAAAAATGAAAGCAGATTTACACTCTCAGTAATATCTCTTCTCATGGTAATTTGTCCTCCTGGGCATTAATTCTAGAAATTTCAGGGCTGCCATCGCTGCACAAATATATTTTTTTACATAGACAATGGAGTTTTTGTATCCTAGTTATGCTCTGAGTTTATATCTAGAGAGTAGCAAGCCAACCAGCTTCAACTCTGTGACCTCCTGATCTATCTGTATTTTTAGAGACAAACTATCCACTTGCCATTCTGCTATCCACCTAGAACCCAGGTGATGTGCCCTGTGAACTTCACGGGTTAGGCCATGCCAACTACTGCCAGAGTAGGGATGATCCCTCCACCCCGGGGTCTGGTTGCCTGGCCTGGACCAAAAAGAAATTTTCATGAAGCTGAGATAAATTGATTATGCAGTTTGGAGCTGTTCAAGTTTCATTTCAGTAAAATGGCATCATTCAAAGGAGGCATCATAAAGAATTGTTGACAAAAGAAAAAAAAGAATAAATAAGCCTTCATACACACCTGTATCAGTCAGGGTTCTCCAGAGAAACAGAAACAGAGCAGTAAAAGTACTTTACATGTATATATATATATATATATATATATATATATATATA